AAGTTCCAGCTCTTTTACCGTTATACACCACTAGGTGGTGAGCTAGACTTCCTTTTAAGAAGAGAAGAAGAAGAGATTGGATTTATACCCCGCCCTTCACTACCCAAAGGTGTCTCAGAGCGGCTTACAAACTCCTTCCCCTTCCCCTCCCCACAACAGACACCCTGTGAGGTAGGTGGGGCTGAGAGAGCTCTTGACAGAAACTGCTCTTTTTCAAGAACAGCTGTGCCAGAGTTATGGCTTGCCCAAGGTCATCCAGCCAGGTGCAAGTGGAGGAGTGGGGAATCAAACCCGGTTCTCCCAGAATAGAGTCCATGCACGTAACCACTACACCAAACTGGCTCTCGGCAATAGACATTTCAGAGGTGGTTTGCCATTGCCTGCCTCTGCATCACGCCCCTGGTCTTCCTTGCAGGTCACCCATCCAAATACTGGCCAGGGCCGATCCTGCTTAGCTTCCGAGATCTGACGAGACTGGGCTAGTATAGTCGTTAGGATGCCAGATAAGAGCAGGGAGCTGCATTCCTCATTCAGCCATGGATCTCAGTGGACAGCCAGCCATTCTTTCTCAGCCCGGTCTATCTCACAGGGTTGTTGTGAGGATAAAATGGAGCAGAGGGAGACTGATGTACGTTCCTTGGAGGAAAGGTAGGGTTTACAATACGATGCCAAAATTATGAGTAAGTCGTCGTACAAAACAGTATATATTTATTTTACTTATTTCCCCTTTATTATAATACTGAAAGCTGCTCACATCATCAAAACAAACAAAAAAGAAGACATGAAATTTGAAGTGAAAGGACAGCACATCAGCACAGGTCAGGGAGACAAACACTAAAAGGTTGCTTGGATTTAAAAAATTGACAAATCACTGTAAAGTCACGAGTGAGGGGACCTGACAGGCTTCGTCATGGGGCAGGAAGTCCCACAGTCCCACAGAGAGGGATCTGTTGTGTTTGCCCTTAATACCAAGCAGTTTAAAATGCGAACTTATCAGAATATTTATTAGGCAATGAAGGTAAACAGCTATTATAGAAATTATCTTTCAGTGTACTGAAATGTAGCTTTTTTCTTAAGGCAGCCGTTTTCAGAGTTCTGTTTTTCATGGAATACTTTTCATATTGACTTTTCTTCTTGGGGAATCCCTGTGCGTGGCAGAGGATTTTGGGGGATGTTCTCGGGCGTATGCTCAGGCCTGGTTCACATAGGCAGGAGAACGACATGTAATGAGATGGAAAGGCCTGAGTCAGCAAAACAGATGTCCTCACTCTCACACACCTTTGGCCTCTCCCTTGGCCGTCTTGCCAAGCTTTAAGACGCCTCAAGGAATGCAGGTTGGGGGGGAAAGCCTTCCAGTAGAAAGCTATGATCAAACATCCTAAACCAACATAATATGCTTACAACCAATCAGAAATACTACCACAGTAAATAGCAGTAAACCAAGCAGTGATAAAGGCTTTTGTCTGGGAGCACTGAGATATGCACACACTGGCTCCCGAGATGAAGAGCACCAGCAGAAGCTGGGCTCTCTGCTTCCTTCTCCTCCTCCCAAAGCTCTATGGCAGCCATGCCCGCTGTCGGACCCCCTTTCCTGTTCTTTGCAGAGAGCCTTTCCATCTTTCATCTTCCAGGCATTAAGCCATTTTAATGATGCTATCTGCGCTTCCGGAAAAAGCCGTCGCCTTCTGCGAGGTTCACAACAACGATCATCAAGCCAATTTATTAGCAAACACGAGACTGCGGTAAACTCTTAAAACAGTGCAGGCAAACAATTAGGAAAGGACGCCATCATCAAAGAGAAGCTTCGCGTTGGGCCCTCATACCAAGCGTGGCAGGGAGTCAGACACACAGGGGCGCCTATGAACGCATGCATGTGCCCAGCCCCTGTGGGGTTTTTTGTCTCTTTCTCCCTTACGTACATATGCACTTCTTGGAAAATTACAGAGTGAGGGAGAGAAAAAAAAGAACTGACTAAACTGAATACAGTGCTAAAGTCATAAATGCGTAAGCACTGTGAACCTTTTGGTGGTGGAAAGTGCTGTCAACTTAAGGTGACTGTCAGACTCCCGAGTCAATCAATTCTCAACAGCAGTCATTCAGAGGAGTTAAAGTTTATTGGGATCCATATGGCATTCAGGTATCTTAACCGTTTTGTGTTAGAACAGAGGATAAAGCACGCGGAGCTAATAGATATACAGGACTCAAGAGGGTCCAAATGGCTTAGGGCCAATCAAATGACAGGTAGGAGCCCGCCAAGCGAACGGGCCAGCTTTTCCAAGAGAAAAAAAGACACCAGGCACTCAAGGTTATACGGCTGGGCTTACAGGGAGAGATAACCAAAACAAGAGAAACTCAGTGGAAACAAAAGTAAAGATTCCACAGTCACCCACACACACACACACACACACACTCATGGCAGCCAGGGTAGTACAGAGGCCTGGCTGACAGCGACTGCGTAGGGTTTTCCAGGCAAGAGTTGTTCAGAGACGGTTTGCCATTGCCTTTCTCCAGACAGCAACCCTAGATTTCCTTGGTGGTCTCCCATCCAAGTGCTAAGCAGGGCCGACCTGGCTTAACTTTTAAGATCTGGCTAGCCTGGGCCATCTGGATCAGGACAAATGAGAATTGGCCAGAATGCTCATTGATATAACAGTTCCCTTCACCCGAACAAATGAGACTGCTGTCTGTTGGATTGTAGAACGCCAGCTTCTCAGAGTGAGCAGGAGACTGTCTTTTCGAACGACGACTGTGACCCAAGCCTCACGAATCCCAGAGCGATGCTCAACAGCAGAGCCAACGGAATGGGGGCAGGTGGGGAGCTGGTACGGGATGCCAGCCGCAGGGAAACACCCATTCCCCGTGCCCATCTCTCCCTTCTGCAAGTGAGGAACCAGCCGAGTGACAATATAGATGAGACAGCTGCGTCCTTGGGGGTCTCCCATCTAACCAGGCAAGGGCGTAGACTTTCCAATTTCCTGGGGGGGGGCTGGGGCTGGGCCAGAGGCAATGCATAACTCATTAGCATATGCCACACCCCTGACAGAAGGCCACACCCCCTGACATCACGGGACATGTGTCAGAAGACAGCAGGGCTCCACTGGACTGTTTTGGATTAATAGCTGGGACTTCTTGAGATCTGACAAGATTGGGTGAGCCTGGGCTATCCAGGTCAGGGCGAACTTCTTAAAAGCCCATTAGAAAACCCCACTGTATATCTTCATGTTGAAATTATATTTAGATTTCATCCACTGAATTAAGAGGGACCAGGGGTTGGGTCCTACCAGCATTTCTTCTGCGGAAAAGGGGAGGAGGGGGCCCCCTTTCCCAAAGAGTCTATGCTGGAGTGGGAGACCTACATGACCAGAAGTCATATAGGGTGGGTGTAGGGTTGCCATCTCCCTCCTGGCCATTGGCAGGAGATGGGGTGGGGGTGCCAGATCCAAGTTGAGAAACTCTTGAAGATTTGGAGATGGGGCTTGGGGAAGACAGGGACCTCAAGAAGAAGAAGGAGAAGAGAAGAATTTCGATTTATACACCGCCCTTCACTACCCAAAGGAGTCTCAGAGCGGCTTACAAACTCCTTTCCCTTCCCCTCCCCACAACAGACACCCCGTGAGGTAGGCGTGCCTGAGAGAGCTCTGACAGAAACTGCTCTTTTCAAAAACAGCTCTGACAGAACAAAGACTTGCCCAAAGCCATCCAGCAGCTGCAAGTGGAGGAGTGGGGAATCAAACCTGGTTGTCCCAGATTAGAGTCCATACACTTAACCACTACGCCAAACTGGCTCAATGGCATACAATGTCATAGAGTCTACCCTCCAAAGCATCTATTTTCTCCGGGGAAACTAAGCTCTGTAGTCTGGAAATGAACAGTAATTCTGGGGGATCCCCAGGTCACAACTAAAGGCTGGCATCCCTAGATAGGTGTTACAACAGAAGCCAATTGGGTAAAAAAAGGTAGTAGGATCCAACCCCTAAGGTGTTAACGAAGGTTTATGTTGGGTTTTATTACCTAGCTGAGAACCTGTTGTTACCTTTTCCCTCTCTGCTGTCGCCCCACATAGCCATCCTCTAAAGGATGTGTGTTTGATTTGAGTCCAGTAGCCCCTTAGAAACCAACAAGATTTCCGGGGTATTCGCTTTCAAGAATCAAAGCTCCCTTCATCAGATACAAGTAGGAGTGTGTTTTCGGTGGGGGGGAGGTAATTGGCCACACCATTTCGAATCTTGTCCACAATAGTAGCTCCCGCACTAACTCCTGAAGTCCTCTCTGCTGAGGAACCCATGCAGAATGGGATCATGGGATAAAGTTTGCTATGTCATCCAGTCGATCCAAACACGTATTTTTGGATCTGCACTCCCGACTTTCCTTTCTTAGACCTTGTTTCCTTCCGCTTTCATACATGTGAAGCAGCTCTTCACATCCAACAAACTGATTCACTCCATGGTGGAGTCATGTATGAATCCTTTACAATCTTTGCTTTTTTGGGGGGCAGTAGTTCTCTCGGTAGGATCGGAGATGCAGATGAGGGGTGTTTTTTTTAACAATTTGGAATGATATTTGAGCCACCCTGATCTGCATTTCAGTCACGTCCTTGTCGTAGCCATTGATTAGCCGTTGATGAACTTCTCCTGAAACTGCTTGTGGATGGAGCACCCAGAAGGCCCCCTTGGAGAAAACGTGGCAGAAACTGACAGACAGGTTGCTTGTAAACTGTCTGCAAGGGCTCCAGCTCAAGGGGCTGCGGCTCAGTGGAATAGCGTCCTCTTGACATGCAGATGGCCCCAGGCTCAATCCCCGGCTGTTAAACCGATCAGGGAGGAGGTGATGCGGAAGACCTCTATGCCTGAGACCCTGGGGAGCTGCATAGACACAGTCCTGACTCTGATGGACCCATGGTCTGATTCAGAGTAAGGCAGCTTCGTGTCTCCCAAGTAGGCCAGAAAGCATTGCCAGCACTTCCTCGTGCCTTATTGATAACATGTTCTTTAATTTTGTAGAAGAAACAACTGCACTCCAGACAACTCGGCAAGGTCAGTAAAAAAACAAACATGCAAACCCTGCTGATTGCTTCCCAGTGCTGGCCTCGAACCCCAACCACTTCCCTGCAGCTCTTTTCCCTTCCCCTGCAGCTAAGCTAACATCGAGGACTTAATAGCAATGGTGACCGTCTTCCTTTCTCAGCTTCTTTCTCTCGTCCCCCGCCTCTGTTCCTCTGAATCCCCAAAGGCCTCCCTGCGCCTGCTGCGAAAGATCTGCTTTGGTAGCAAGGTGCTGCCTGTCGCCGGCCATCTTTAGCGTGGGATGATGTGGCTAGCCCTCGTGCCCTGCAGTCTAATGTGTCGTAGCGATCCTTACGCAGCTTACACTTCCATTCACTGTGGACCTCCCTCCCCCTTGCTTTGCCACTGCTCTTCCAGACCTCTCCAGCTCTCCTTATTTGTGTGAGAAAGGTCGCGTTTCAGATTTACCTTTGTTTAGGAGCTCAGGCTTGGTTCATACATACAAGGTCCTTGTTCTGCGGTCACCATATCATGGCACACTCTGCACCAGGGGTCATTTCGTAGACAAAGAGGTGCAGGAGCTCATTAGCATGGCTCATTAGCATAACTTATTTGCCTATGCCACACCCCCTGACGTCACAGGAAGTGTGTCAGAAGGCAACACCCACCGCTCAGGGTCCACTGGACTGTTTTGGATTGCTAGCTATTGGGGGGGGGCAGGGAACGTGCAGATCTGTCCTCGCAGAGGAGGGAGAGCTTGTGCCTGAATAAAACTTGGTCTTAAAGGTGCCACTGGACTGTTTTGGACCAGGGGGCAGGGGAGAGCTCTGCAACTTACCTGGCTGCTTCTTGCTCTGCCTGAGGGCTGCTGGGAGCAGGGGGTGGGGCTTGTTGCATGTGCCCGCCCCCTGGGCTCTTTACTGCTGGAGCCCTGCTCCTGTGCGCTCCTGCAGGAAATGACCCCTGCTCTGCACTAATTACAGATATTATGCCCAGTTCTGGCTCCTTGCCTCACTTTCCGACACAATGCTTTCCAACGGGACAAGTTTGCACGTTCGAATCTCAGTCATCACATCAGCAACAAGAATGAGCAAAGCCACTTGGGCGGTATGCTGTTTATGAATTTATTTATTTACTGACTGACTGACTCTGTTTCTAGCCCCCCCTTTCTCGCTGAGAGTCAAAGGCGGATTACTCAGTGTAAAACAATACGATCCGGTGGCATGAGCAATGCAATGGGACCAAAATTTCAGAGTTGAAACAGTGCAGAGAATGGTATTACAGAAATAGAAAACAACTCAGGAAGAACAGGATAATACATATAACAAGTGGCAACAACTGCAGCTCCTATAGTAAGGGAGAAAACCACAGATATCCACCCAAAGGTGTCCGCAAGGGAAACAGATAATTCAAAGTGGGTGAGGGACAACCTCTTTGGGGGTTACTGATTAATTGGGCTAGATCAGGAATCTTTCCTCCATAGTCGAGATGCAATGCCGTCCAATCGAAATCAACACATCTATTCATACCTCACATTACGTTATAAAACGTAACTGATGTTGTCGGTTTTAATCAATAATTCGGTTTGTTACTCTTTTTGTAGAAAGTGACAAGAATGATTTTAATTTGCTTTAAACCGTGCTCCTGTTTTGGAAGGATATGTCTCAACCTGGAGGGAGGGTGTCTCTGAAGGAAGTACTTGGCCATTGGTTGAATTTAGGTGAAACCAAACAAAAATAAAATTGCGCCATAATGGAAAATTTACAGTGTAGTCCTAAAAACAGAGTTACACCCTTATGTTGACTTCAAGGGGTTGGGAAAGGTTTGCCTCTGCTTAGAATATTGTTCTTGTTGTTGTTGTTGTTGTTGCCTGTGGCCAAATGACACAGTAATTGAATCCATGGGAAAACAAATACCTGTGTTTTTCTGAAGAGGAAGGTCATACAATAAAACCATTTGTACTTCAAAGTACTACAACAGGAAGCTTTTGGGAATGGTTGCCAACCAACCACAGGTTGAGAACTTCCTGGAAATTCGGAGGTGGACTCTGGGGAGGGCTAGGTTGGAGTAAGGGAGGAACTTCTGAAAGGTATAACGCCATTCAGTGCAAAGCAGCCATTTTCAGGGAAATTGATGTATGTAGTCTGGAGATCAATTATAATTCTGGGAGATCCCGAGGTTGCACCTAGAGGTTGGCAACCCTATTATGGAGCATGCAAATGTTTGGCCTTGCTTACAGTTCGATTGTATTTATGCTTATTTGGAAGTAAATCCTGCTGATTCTAACAGGGATTCCTCACAAACAGTGCTGTCACGTTATGGTTTTACTGGATCAATTCACATTAGCAAAAAATATGCGTCTACAGTCAATGCTCCGAGGAAAGGGAACGTGTTCTCTGGATCATATCACTTGGTAGCTGCCTGATGGATTTCGGTGGGGTTTCCTTCCAGAGGAATAGGGCGGAACAGGTTCCCATTGCTCCACCCACTTCTCCATTCCCAGCATTCCTCTCTGTTACTGCATCCCAGTCATCTTTGATTCCAGTTCAGGAGAATTTTTAACAGTTAATTCTAGAACCGAATCGCATACAGTTTGTCACAGCATTCCTCCAGATCATTTCCATCTTTCCACCCTCTCTACATTACCCAGTGCACGTGGGCATTAACAGGGGTCATTTTGTAAAAAAAGAGGTGCAGGAGCTCATTAGCATAACACATTAGCATAACTTATTTGCATATGCCACACCCCCTGACATCACTGGAAGTGTGTCAGAAGGCAACACCCGCCGCTCAAGCTCCACTGGACTATTTTGGATTGCTAGCTATTGGGGGGGGGGGAGGAACATGCAGATCTGTCCTCGCAGAGGAGGGAGAGCTTGTACCTGAACAAAACTTGGTTTTAAAGGTGCCACTGGACTGTTTTGGGCCGGGGGGGCTCTGCAGCTTACCTGGCTGCTTCCTGCTCTGACGGAGGGCTGCTGGGAGTAGGGGGTGGGGCTTGTTGCATGTGCCCTCCCCCTGGGCTCTTTACTGCCGGAGCTCCGCTCCTGTGCGCTCCTGCAGGAAATGACCCCTGGGCATTAATAAGACACTCCAAAAAAAGGGAACTTGTCAGAAGAGAAGGTGCCAGATGGGTCTCCACAATGACTGTGTTCAAAAAGCAAGAATGCCTCTACTCCCATTCCCTGCCCCCCAAGAAACCTGTCTCCGGTTGCCAGCTGGCTTGCTACTGTCAGTGCAGAGAGTAGATCTTGAGGTGAAGATCTTAACGGATGAGCAGGACAGTGTGTGGGGGGATGTGGTCCTTCTGGTTAAACACCACGCAAAAGCACAACTGCACCAGCAGCCCGATCAAGTTGCATTTCCGCACAGTCTTATTAATGCACATGTGGGCATCAGTCGTATAAAAAGCTGTGAATGAACGAAAGGAACAGAAATCCGTATCAAACTGCACACGCAAAGAGAATCTAGTAAACAGGACTTGCGAGTGGTTGCTGCCCTGTGGGGAGCCACCATAGGAGGGGAGTTCCACTAGTGTGGGGCGCCACCAATGGTATCTCAGCTGCCTGTGTAGTCCAAACTTGGCTCCTGTATAGTCAACTCACAAGGGTATTCTGGGCCACTTATTCGCCAATGATTTGTCTTTGTTCTCAGTTGCTCTCGCTGGATAATTGACGCTTAAAAGCCTTTTTTCTCTGGGATACCACAGGGCTTGTTTATTGGCCACTTTGGATTGTCACATGTCTCCTTAATGAGCTCCAAGGAATGAATGTTGGAAAGAAGCCATAGCGAAGGCCAGGCAGGGCCACTCCGGCTTCTTTGTTGGCTCCGCTGCCATTGATGGCAGCTTTGGCAGCTGGAGCTCCATTATCTTCTTCCATGCAGCTCTGTGCTTGGCTCCCTCCAAAGCTCGTTACGAAATTTCAAAGCATCCAACTTCACTTTCAAGAATCTGGTGATTTCCGCTTTCTTGAGTCGCTGGTCCAACTGTATTATGATAAACTCAGTTGATCTAACAGGGCTGGGGAAATATTTATTTTACTGAACAGTTTGTGTTTGTTTTGGGGGAGGGGGGAAAGAAATTATAAAGTTGGGATTTATTGGAGTATATTAATAGAATGGTCCAGAAGGAAGCGTGACAGCTGCAACCTTCTCTGGAAGATGAAGGACATTTCATGGAATATTTCTTATACTGAATGGGTTTTTATGTTTGTTTTGGGGAGGGGGAGAGAAATTATAGTTGGCATTTATCTGGGTGTAGAAATAGAACGATCTAGAAGGAAGTGTGACAGCTGCAACCTTCTCTGGAAGATGGAGGACACAAACACAGCAAAAGCTAATTTTCACTTGCCAGATATCTTGAAATCTGCAGATAATTTGGCTGCTTTTGTAAGTCCATCTCTACTCCCATTTCAGACTGAGGTTTGCCATCATGTATCCATTTAACAGAAAGCCTCAACATACACCTATATATGATAATGATGCACAAGTTTGCAAACACATGCCAAGTTATCCCAGGAGAGCTGTAGAACTGGCTTAGACAGGGGCTGTGTCTCGTCCAGACAGTCATGGGATAAATCCCTGGCATCTCCTGATAAAGGATCAGATGATGTGAAAGTTCTCTCTGTGAGATCCGGGAAAGCTGTTGCCAGTCCCAGTAGACAATATGAGGCTAGATCAACCAAAGGGTCAACAGAGTGTAGAGCAGCCTCAGGCAATTCATCATTCTAAAGATCTTGTTTCTTGAGGTACAGATGATAAGTGATTGCAATGTTCTGGATTCTGGGAGGGTGCAAACTGGATGGGGAGAGGGTGTATGATAGGCAATAATGTGGCCACTTAGAGTAGTGGTATCCAGTGGAATTGAGCAGCAGTTACGAGGGATGGTGGTGGAAAGTGCTGTCAAGGTGCAGCCAACTTACGGTGACCCCATAGGGTTTTCAAGGCAAGAGACTAGCAGTGTTGGTTTGCCATTGCCTGCCTCTGCATAGCAACCCTGGACTTCCTTGGTGGTCCCCCATCCAAGTGTTAACCAGGACCAACCATGCTTTGGTTCCAAGATCTGACGAGATCAGGCTAGCCTGGGCCGTGCTGCATGAATTATAAGTGAGTATTGCTGGAATGATTTAGCAGGCTTTCCCTTCATTGTGGATCTCTCCATCCACAGCGAGATACTTGGGTAAGGCTACCTTTTCACCAAGACTTCTTCTTGGAAACCTGGCCATTATCCTTAGAATTTATTTTTTAGTTATTCAGAAGATTCAACACTCTGATTTTTCATAACAAACCCTTTTTGTGGCTCTCTTCTACCTGGAACCAGTGTTCCCTCTAAGCTGAGTTAGTGTGAGCTGGCTCACAGTTTTTTAGCCTCCGGCTCACACATTTTTTGTCTTAGCTCAGGAGGGATAGCTCCAGAGCAAACTAATTCATGCAGGAGCCAAATTGCTTGCTCACAACTTTAATGCCCATAGTAGAATTTCTGCTCACAAGACTCCACAGCTTAGAGGGAACATTGCCTGGAACCTAGTTGGGATAGTATTGTGATTCAGGATACAGGGACCATGAAGCATGCAGCAATATACCTTTGCTTTTCCTTTACCTCAAGGATTTCCTTCACAGACCTGTTGCTGTTACGCTAGAAAGTGTAGTTCCCCGTGGTAAGAGAAATTGTTTCAATTAGGGAGCTGTCTAGGTCCGATTTGTTTATTTCTCGATTCCCTCAGCTGACACGGTGACTCCTCTCTTCCCACAGGACCTGGTGCAGTGCATGATGGGAACAGTGATGGATCCAGAACAGTTGCCAGCGTTTGGCTGCTTTCCGTCCTTCTGTTTCACCTGCTGCCCAAGTTTTGACCCCGCCAACGATGGTGAAAGGAAGAAGAAAGAAAGGGGAAAAAAGAGAAAAAAAGAAGAATATTAAAATTTTTAAAAAATAATCATAATAGTAAAGAGAGTATATTATGAGGAAATCTGGGAGGGAAAGAAAGGGAATCTGAAAACACAAGAAGAGTCTAAATTGTCCTGCTGATGTTTGAACACGACTGAGTGTTTTGTTTTTCTTTCCTTCTCATTTTTTTCCTTCCACTTTTTTTCCTGCCATGGACAAGTATGCAGCTGTTGGGGACTAACCAGTGCATTTGGCTGAGTGACCATTGTCTCCTGTCCTCACCCTGCCAAGGCAGACTTTCTCTCGTTTTCTCTCTTTCTCTTTCACTCTCCGTCAGTCTTTCTGTCTCTCTCTGCTTGGTCCCCCTGTATGGAGGATTACAAGGTTGGCTGCCCCATGTGCAAGAATTCATGGCTTTTTCATCACCCACCCCCCATTTTTCCCTCTTCTTCATGGACGATACTGTCATTTGTTTGGTTGCAAGCTACCACTGAAACAACTACAGACCGCAACCAATTCAACCACGAGGAACAACAACGGCAAAACACAACATATACGCAGTTGTTAAGACATTGATTCATTGTACTACATGGATATCACGGATAATAAGGGATTCTGATTCATTATTAATTTTATTAATTATATTTTCTGATATGAGCCTAGAACTTGTTAGTTCATAAAAAACAGCAACAACAAAAAAGAACAAAAACAAACAAAAAAAGGGGGGAGAGACGTTTATTAAGCATTACAAACCAATCGAGTAGTGGGCTTCTTAAACTAGGTTTACAAGAGGTGGAAGGTCAACTTGTCTCCGGTTGTCTGCGTGATCCGTCTGGATGAGAGTTGACGAGTCCAGTGGAGAAACAAAAAAAAAAATGAAGAGAAGATGAACAAGCACTGCCTCCGCCAGCATTCTCGAGTTTTCATTCATGATTCTGGTGTTCCAAGTCAAGAAGATTTTTTGATGTCTTCATACTGTTCAGAAGTACGAAAGGTTGACACTCACTGTATGTTGAGTTAGATGGATATGCTTATTCTTTTTTATGAGTTTATATATATAAATATATATATACAGTATATATATAAATATACATATATATATATATTATAATTATAATTATTTTCTTTTTTGGTTAGCATTTGAGCACATTATTTCTCAGCCAGGTCCTTTTTCTGACATTACTGCATGCTGTATATGGAGTTAGCTGTGTATTGGTCTTCTCGGACACAAGGATAGAGTTTTATTGGTAATTGTGTAATTAATTCCTGCCTACTTTTTTTTTTTTTTGGCCTTCCCGTGGGTTATTTACATGTTGGAGACATTTATAAAAAAAAGAAAAGAAAAGAAAGAATGAAAAAAAAAATTCTGCAGCCTCTCATTCCGAATTTGGATGGATATGAGGGAGGGGAAAGGTGATGTTAATCAATACATTTTCTTCATTCTCCCTGCTCCACACACCTTCAGATAGGGACACAAAATAAAATGAAAGAAGTTTCAAATAATCATACGTCTTTTTTTGAAAAACAAAACTATTTCTTGTGGCTACGTGAGAAATCAAATTGCTTTGATTTACCCCTCAGATTTCCTTTTCAGCGGACAGAACTGGAAAAATGTGCTTTGGTGTGGTTTTGGGATGCTCAGCAGATGAAAGCCTCCTTTGTCTTGGGTTGGCCTGGATGTCAAAACTGGGAGGTTGTCTCCGATTTGACATTTAAAAAGAGAGAATATGATTCATGTTGCCCTACAGGTTGATTGTGAGACCTCATTCTTAAGGTGGTTGTCCAGACAGATGTGCTTTTATATATATACTAGCAATAAGGCCCGTTTCAGAAAAAAAGACAACGATCTCTAGAGGGAGAGTGGCCCGGTCTGCAGCCGCCGCGGCCCAGGGAAGCGCAACGTGGCCATCTCCCCCCTCTCCAAGGCCAGTCAGGCCATGCTGCTGGGCCAGCTAGGGTGGGAACAGTGCAGGAAAGGCTGGCAGGGCCTCCCCCGAAGCAGGGTGCGCAGCCTCCCTGGGCCAGGCCACAGCGGGCCAGGGAAGTGCGGTGTGGCTGTTTCCCCCCTCCCCAAGGCCAGCCAGGCCATGCCGCTGGGGCAGCGAGAACGTGGGCAGCACAGGGAACCCCAGTGGGGCCCTCTACCCCCCCCGCAAGCAGGGCCTGTGGCCTCCGTGGGCCAGGCTATGCTGGCCCAGGGAAGTGCGGAGTGGCCGTCTCCCCCCTCTCCGAGGCCAGTCGGGCCATGCTGCCGAACCAGCGAGGCTGGGGGTGGAGCAGGGAAGGCCGGCAGGGCCCTCCTCTCCCAAAGCAGGGTCCATGGGGCGTGGGCATTTCTCCCCTCCATGAGGCCACTCTGCCGCAGCGCTGGGCCAGCAAGGCCAGGGGCGATGCAGGGAAGGCTGGGCCTCCCCCCAAAGCAGGTTCCACGGATGACCTGGGGCAGGCCACACCGGCCCAGGGGAGCGCAGCGCAGCCATCCCCGAGGCCAGTTGGTCTGCCAGCAAAGCGTCCATCCTGGCCAGTGGTTCCCCGCAGACTGAGGGTGAGAGGCTGGCCGATGGGTCTGTGGGTGGGACTGAGGTGATGGAGGGAGGCAATATGGCCAGGGGATTGGCCCCCTCAGACCCAGCACCCAGCCAATGGCACAAGTCCCGTTGACTGGCAGCTGACAGGTCAATGGCTGAGGGAGCACATGGAATGTGGCCACCCCAAATCACTTTTATAATATAAGGAAGGATATATATATATCCAGTCATTGCATCGAGTTGGTCTTCAATAAATGGTTGAATGTTGATTCAATAGGAGAGATCTGGTTTTGGGAACCAAACTAGTATGATGGTCCCTTGGAAGGGTCCCATGCTTACAGTGCAGTCCTAATCAGAGCTCCACCCTTCTAAATCCATTAACTTCAATGGAATTAGCAGGATGTAAGCTGTGGTGGCTCAGTGGTTAAGATGCTGAACTGCAGACTGGAAGGTCAGTAGTTCAGCAGTTCAAAACCCTAGTGCCGCATGACAATGGAGTGAGCTCCCGTCTCTGGTCCCAGCTCCTGCCAACCTAGCAGTTTGAAAGCAAGAAATTGCAAGTAGATAAATAGGTACCACTTCGGTGGGAAGGTAACAACGTTCTGTGCACCTCAGCATCTAGTCATGCCAGCCACATTACCACAGAAATGTCTCTGGACAGCGCTGGCTCTTCAGCTTGGAAACGGAGATGAGCACCGCACCCTAGAGTCGAATTCCACTGGCTTTCAAGCAAGGGAAACCTTTACCTTTGCCTTCTATTTAGGATTGTACTGTTTATGCACCATCCTATTACTTTAGTATGATGAACTGCAATTTGGGATGTATGACTCTTAATAATACTTTGTAATTAACTGTCGAAGAGGAATGTGTTTTAAATTTTGCAGTATGGAAGGGGGAAACCCTCAGAAATCTACGGGTCGCTTTGGAGGTATCATACAGGACATAATAGTGTCTTCAAAACCCAACATGCCCAACAAAAATTGTTTTCCCTCCAAGGATCAGTGTGTCATGAGTAATCACGCAAAATGAGAGAGAAGAATCCAGTAGCTGTCTTGATATATTTCATCATACTAACAAACCAGCTGGAGTTTCCTACGTTCTTACCACCATATATGGTGAACCATTAAATAAATCAATAAATCTTTGGCTTTGGCTACTTGCCTGGGACTGCAAAAACAATTTGTGTGGAGAGGCTGGCACACATCTGGCAGGCTACCATACGCGGCTGATGGCTTCCCTTTGTAACTCAAAAGTAATAGGACTCAGATAGGAACGGCTGCAGTTCGCTAGTTAAGGGGAGTGGTTAAAACAGGGCAGTGTGTCCTTCACAAGCAAAGGTGTAAGAGCATCCAAGATGCAGAGCTGCAAGTAATGAGAACTGGGAAAGACATAAAGGTTGCAATTGGGATTCTTCTTCTTTTTTACAGTCACTTCTCTGTCCCTTTATAGATGCTTCAATGGTGAGTGCTGGAAGGGACTTTTAACCTCCTTGCCTGATCTTCTTCTCAATTGCAGGTCGTAGACTTTTGATTGGTGCAGTGCTTTGGCATTCCCTCTAGGCTAGGAAGGGTGAGCAATAGCAAAGACACAAAGGTCATGAGCCAATCCATGTTGAATGTGCATGGGGGTGTGTGGAAAAGCTTGCTAGACCCCTGACTGCTGTTCCATTCCATTTCTGTCATGTAACATTCTGCAGAGGAGCACACACGAGAGAACAGAGCCACAGAAAGCACGGAATGAAATGAACGACCTAGTCTGTGTTGACAATACGTGATTTCTTTACAGGGTAAGCATGAGACAGTCTATCGGTGGCACTGGCCAAGGGGCAGCATTCAATGTGTTGTTTAGACTAAAGTCACAGAAGACCAGCATTTAGCAAGTTCCCTCATGTCTGACCTAAATCAGTGTGGTTCACTAAGAAAAGGCAATGAACCAGATTATGGGATAACCCCATATCCTGGTGTATGTAAGTGCCATCAATTTGCAACCAATTTATGGCAACCCCAGCCAGGGGCTTTGAAGGCAAGTGAGAAGCAGAGGTGGTTTGCCATGGTCTTCCTCTGCAGAGTCTTTCTTAATGGTCTCCCATCCAAGTACTGACCCTACTTGGCTTCCAAAACCTGATGAGCTTGGGATATACAATGCCACCTTCCCTCTGTCTTGCTGTGAATTATGTGAATTGTGCTCTCTAGCACGGGTCAATAACAAAGCAGTTAACACAACCAGATCAGTGTGTTTATGAATTTTCCTGCCCAGTTCATGGGAATTTCTGTACCTTTTCCTGACTCTTTGCGCATGAAAGACCAGGCCAAACAGGCTAGTAGGTCTTGCAACACTTCCAACAAGTGCTCAGGTAAGTCTATAGTGGGAAAGAGGTTGATAAGGAAAACTTATAAGAATACTTTTCTTTGTACCTCCCTGAATCTGACACAGATACTTCAGTTCAAATGGTAACTGTTGCCAAAAATGAGACTGATGTAAGAAATTACTGTTTTTGCACTGAAGTCCCCAACAAAGGTTATGGGCCCAGCAGTAATGTTAGCTGCTCTTGGTACAGGGAACTTGGGAGGAGGTGTCTGTGATAATATGCTGGATCTAGGGGATGTTGTCAAGATACCAGACAAATTTGATTTTGTGTTTGGGCTGCAGCCTCATCCGCCCTCCCTATTTCTGCACCCAAATATGTAGTCCCCCGAATTGCCTCTACTCTTGATACACACGTGGAAGCAAATATGATTTCACATGCATTGGCTGCAGACGAATCAAAATTTGATAATGGGCCATAAACAGTTTAAAAGTATTCAAGTGCCCCAGGATGTTGTACTAACCAGAACCTAAGCTGACTTTTGGAAGTGAATCTGACAGATTTATAGGACCCACTGTATTAACGTGACAACTTAAAAAAAAGGGGACCTAATTTTTCAGAGACACTGTACCACTGATGACTCAGATGCTGGGGTAAATAGCTTTCGCTATCAAGCTCTACTTTTGAGCCCTATCTGGCTGGTGAGTATTTAAGATGGAATTCTGGAGCAGGCTGTCAATTCTCTAAGTGGTGTTTCCCTTATTGTGCCCAAGATGAGTGCGTGGAAGATGGCCGCAGAAAAGAAAAGAAAAGCCCTCTGCTCTAATCATTTGGCATTGAGGCACCTGTGTGTGAGAATAGTTCCTGGTTCAGGGGTCAAAGGGAATCCTGGACAGGAAGCATTTTTTTTTAGGAGACAGAGGGAAAGCCTAGAGTTAAGCCTGTCTAATTAATAAAGCAATGTTCTATTTTCTTTTACTGGCAAGCATGGGAGTCTCCATCCAGGTTGTCTAATTGCCCAGCTACGAACACACTATTTTAAAATGAGAAAACCTGTTTGAGTCACTGGTCG